CACTGCTTCCACCAGAACGAACCCTTGGACCCCGTGCAACCCCAGGCCAGGGCCCCTCAGGACGTGCACTCGCTCAGGTGCGGTCCCCAGTCCACGGGCATGGCTGTAATTGACTTGAGGTCTCTCTCTTTCAGAAGGTCCTAGGGAACATGCTGTGGGAAGCAGCACCTATCATTGGGGCAGGGGAGGACGCAAGCTTCAAATTACATGTTTTGAGGACAGTGCCAAGTGTGTGTCTGTCTGTAAAGCATGAGCTGCGCGTCACCTGTTGTGTGGCAGCTGGATGGAGTTTGCTGGTGACAGAAGGCCTGGTCCCTGCCTTGCGTGGCTAAGTGTAGGTTGGGAGCAAGCAGAGCTGGCCAGCACTCCAAGTTAGCAGTCTTGTGCCAGCTCCTGCGGCCTTGGCTGTGCGCTGGCCTTCTCTGGGAATGCCTTTGAAAGGGGCTGCCAGTTGAGGTTTGAGGGTGGGGTGGTGGTGGTTGCCTCTGAGGCAGGGTGACCCCAGGTACAGCACAGCGAAACGTTCCCCGGCCCCGTGCCGCCCTCGTGATTGTCGGCTGTTGGAGTCCGTTGTTGTTGCCGTTGTGTAGTCCGTCTCATGGCCTCGTTTTTGCTGACCCTCCACCTTACCAGACCTGGCGCCCTATTCTAGTGAGCGGCATTTCCTGATGACGGGTCCGGAGTAAGCGAGCCAAGTCTGCCATCCCCGCTTCTAATGACATTCTGGTTTCCTTTCTTACCTGTGTACTTCAGTGTATGGATTCTTAAGGATTTGATGAGTTTCTGGTGAAAACGGCAAGTTATTTCCCTTTGGCAGTTTCCCCACACATCGTTCAGTGACGTGGGTCCCATTTGTCCCAGTGTGTTGATGTTCCTTTGAATTGTGTTCACTTGGTTTCATTTCCAGGACTCTAGTTTCCCTGCCCCTTTATCTCCTCATCTTTGCTTTAGAGTAATTGTTGATGGCTTTGAAAAACCACACTGCTGATTGGTGAGTAGATCAGCCATCGTACGGGTAACATCCTTTACTTTGTGTCCCACTCTGCTCTTTGGCTACAGGGTAATCTCGGGCGAGGCTTGGTTCTGGGTTCAGAGAGTGTGGCCGAGGGAGGGTCTGGGGGGGGTCCTCTGCTCTCTAATGCTGCGGTGTGTTGGCTTTTTTATTTTCAGTAAGGATTTGGTTTCTGCTCCACATCCTTTCGCATTCTGTCCGGAGCCCATCTATTGTGGCCCTAGTCAGAATGGTCAGTGGTGCTAGCTGGGCACCATCTAGTTCTTCTGGTCTCAGGGCAGATGACACTGTGAAAACTTGTTTCTTCTCTGAGCTGTTGGTTACCTTCTCACTGGGTAGTTCTTTTTTTTTTTTTTTTGAAGTTCAGTGTTTATTGAAGCAAGACTGTCACAGGGTAGTTAGTTTCCAGATGACTTACCATTAGAGGGAACACTTAAGCCAGTGAGATCACAGAAGGCATTATCATGTCCCTTAGAGGTGGCTGTGATTTTTTGACCCCTATTAAATTTCACAGGTGGTAGTCATGGGGTGCACGTCAAATTGAATGTGTATTAAGTCTTTGTGAAGAAGCTTTCCGTTTTGTTGGGGAAAACCAGATACATTAAAAGGCAAAGTGGGATTCTTGTTACAAGGGGTACAGCTACAGTTGCAGCTGGGAAGGTGGCAGTGCTGGGAGGTAAGAGTCCCTGGGGACAGAGGAGGTGGACCATCGGGAGGCTGGTGACACGGCCCGATACTCTTCTCAGGAGAGGCCGGAAACCAAGACTATCATTTGACGACCGTGATGGCGGCCACGGGGTGTCGTCCTGCGGGGCCCTTGTGCTGACAGGATGCTGTGACGTTGTGGCTCCACGCCTGCCTCCATCCAGCTGCGCTCTTCTGGGCGTGCCGCTGGCAGGGCTTTTAGGGTCTTCTCAGAGCCTGGATGTAAATCAGTGTGGAACTCTTCTCAATTTGTGAAGACAAGATGATTCAAATTGAACCAGAGGAAACAGGCTTGGAGTGGGAGAGAAGCAGTGGGCCCTGTCTGACCAGTACTGGTTCACGCAGGTGGATCGGGCCTCCTCTCGGCGCTGCCCTGAGCCTGCACTGCGTCCTTCTCTACTGAGACCCTTGTCCGCTCCTGATTGTTAGATCTTCATCTGTGTGTGTGTGTCCCTGTCCCTGTGTGTCAGCTCAGTGCTCACCCTCAGGCAGCCTGTCCTACACCCTGCTCCTGTTAACCAGTTAGGGTGGCCAGGATGGGACTCCGACCGCTTTCTCTGCTGTGCACAGGCCTGAGCACCGCATGTGTTTTCATTTAGCTTGTTCCCGGCCGGTGCACCTCATGCAGCCACCACCTGTCGGTGGAGGCTTGCTGTGATGTTGAACAAGTTTCAGTAGGCCTTCCAGATAAAGATCGACTAGGCAGGCAGGCCTAGCTGTCCGCTTTGAAAACCAGCCGGTGAGAACCCTGGGTCCCTATGGTTGCATCTACAACCAGTCACGGGGATGGCCCGGGACTGGGAAGTGTTTTTCTCCATTGTGTGTGGGGTCACCATGAGTCAGGGGCCAACTCCCTGGCATCTAACAAAAACACATGTTTTTTTTTAATTTTTCAATTTTTAAAATATTATTTTATTTCTGCAGTGTTTCCTCTCCTCCTTTAATTTCTGCTTATCTGGAAATACTCTAATTTCATCATCATATTTGAAGGACAGTTTTGCCAGGTAGATAATTCTGGATTGGAAATTTTTTTCTTTCAGGGTTTTATATATACCATCATGTTGCCTTCTTGCCTGCATGGTTTCTGCTGAGGAATCAGAGCTTATCTTGTTGGTTGCCCTTTGTAGGTAACTTTTCTTTTCTCCTGTGCTGCTTTCAGGATTCTTTCTTTCTTTGTCTTCGGTTTTGGTGAGTTTGATGATGGTATGTCTTGGTAATTTTCTTTTGGGGGTCTATCCTGTTTGGGGTTCATTGGACTTCTTGAATGCATATGTTCTGTTCTTTCATCATATCAGGTAAATTCTCTTCCAACAAATCTTCAACAATTTCCTCTGTGGTTTTATTTGTGTCTTCCTGTTCTGGAATTCTGATTACATGTAGGTTATTGCTTTTGATGGTATCCCACGTGAACCTTAGGCTTTCTTCATTTTGTTTTGATCTTTTTTTTTGATTTATTCCTTTCCAAAGAAGTATTGATGTATGTGTCTTCAGTCTCACTAATTCTGTCTTCCCTTTACCCGTTCTACTCCTTTACCCATTCAATGTGTTGCCTATTTCTGAGAACTTAGTATTAATCGTCTGGATTTCTATCTGTAGATTTTGTATCATTTCCAATTTTTCATTTGTTTTGTCAGTTTGTTTTTGTGTTGTCTTTTGAAATTGTTCTGGGGTTTTCTCCATTTTTCTCAATTTTGTCGGTGTTTTCCTTGATCTCTCAATTTGTTGAAGATAGTAAATATAATTCTTTTGAATTCCTTATCAGGGAGTTCCAATGCGGCTTCATCCTTAGGGATGTATTCTTGGTCTGTATCCCAGTCCCTTGTTCCTACCACTTTATCTTGCTACTTTGTGTGGACTGTGATGCTCTGTTGTCTGAGACATTGTGACGTTTTTGTGTTTGTATTTAGTTGGTGATTGTGTGTGGGTGTGATTTGCCCAAGATTCTAGTTTTCTTTGGATGTACCTGGGTAAGCAAGGTACTGAGTTCCTCCGTCCGCTAGTTGCCAGCACTTACGCATTCACCACCGTTCCAGTTGTCAGCTCCCCGTGTGTCCGTGCTGTCTTTGGCAAGCAGAGCCTGTTGTTGTCGTTGTCGTTGTTATTGTTATGTGCCGTCAAGTCGGACAGGACTCATAGCGACCCCTCCTTGGGTTTTCAAGGTGGTATCACTACAGAAGTAGATTGCCCAACCTTCTTTCCAAGGAGTGGCTGGTGGGTTTGAACTGCCAGCCTTCTGGTTAGCAGTCAAGTGCCTTAGGGACTGTGCTACCAGACTTAGGCTCCCTGAAATTGTTTTTGTTCTGGTTCTCCTACTAGTCGGTGTTTAATCCACTTCTGTATCCTTTCAAAGTTCAGGGCTCCAAGATTGCCTTCTGTATTTGTGTCACTTGGTTTCTCTTTTCTTTGTTGAAGAGGGTCTGTGTAGCTTGTCTGCCTAGTTCGCCATCTTACTGGAAGTTCTGACAGCAACAGGTTTCATACCATGTGAATGTTTTGCTCATTCAAGAACCAAAATAAACAAACAATCCCAAAACACTGTAACACTGCACTGGCAGGAGGAGTTCCTCAGAAATCTGCCAGAACTTGTGGGATGTTGAATCTACTGAGTGCGGATTTCCTAAGTTTGCATGGTGTAGCAGTCTAAACTCTGGATACAAGACTGAGTATGCCCTTTATCTGAGCACGTTATACATGTGCTCACATAAATCCCCACAGTAGCCCTATGAAGAGGGAACTGTAAACCATCCCATTTTACGGATAGGGAAGCTAAGCTTAAGTATTGCCTGAGGGCGCACAGCTAATAAATGGCTGAGCAGGATTTGAACCCAGGCAAGCTGGCTAAGAGTCCGTGTTCTTAGGCAAGGTGGGTAAGATGTGAACTACTGCCTTGTGGCTTTTGTTCTTTCGTGGATTGGTGGTGGTAGGTTTGTATCAACACAGATTAAGATCAATCTTCTCCCAAGGCTACGTCTCACCCATGTTCTTTGAATCACTCAGATACACCTTTGTTTCCTTGGACGGGTCCATCTTACTGTTGAATGGCTAAAATTTGTAAGGTTTGTTCAGAGTGTCCTGGTGGCACATTGGTTGAACACTTGACCGCTCACCGGACAGTTGGTGGTTCTTACCTCCCCAGTGGCTTGGCAGTGCTCCTGTGAAGACGCCAAGAAGACCCTGTGGGGCCACTCTGCTCGGTCACAGGCTGCCGTGGGTCAGAATGGACAGCACGCGACAGCAACAACAAGAAAGGTTTATCTGAGCTCTGCCCTTTCTTTATTTTTAGAAAATTATGATGACTTGTATCATTGGTCAGTGAAGTCGTATTCGGACTTCTGGGCAGAGTTCTGGAAGTTCAGTGGGATTGTGGCCTCGCGCACGTATGATGAGGTAGGTGGACATTTTGCTCATGCTTTATCTTCCTATAGTTGTGTTTCAGAGCACACTGTTAATTTTGGGGAACCTCAAATAGCATCACCTTTAAAAAAGTTTAAGTGGGAAAAAAAATGATTGCCCTAGAGAATCAGCATTAAAGTGTGTTGGGGTCGGGGGCCCTGCTGAGACTGTAATCTGTGGGCCTCTGAGGTGTGTGGACGCCAGGCCCAGTCCTCAGAACTGAAGCAGCCCTCAGTAGTAGGTTGTCATCTTTGAAATTGTAAGTAGTTTTACTTTAAACATGGATTTTAGAGAATATTATAATTCCTTATGTTAAAGTCAGTAAGTGTCTGGGGAATGGAGTCCCTGGTGGCCCAGTTGAGTGCTCAGCTACTAACTGCGAGGTTGGAGGGTTGAGTCCACCCCGAGGGGCCTCGGAAGCAAGCCCTGGTGATCTCCAGGAACGTTCGCCGTGAGAGTGCAGTGGAGCCCAGCTCTTGTCTCTTCTCTGGCACACACATGGTTGACTGTTGCTGGTCTGGTTTGGTTTTCATCTGGGGAAAGCGAGTCTATTCAAAGTACTGTGCTGTGTGTGTGGGTCTGGTTATGGGGTAACCATCTGAACGGTTCCTCTGTAGACGCTTTGAGAAGAAAATCCAGATTCCGGAGACATAAAGAAGTGGACTGAGAGCAAGCTGGGAAATCCTGATGGGAGGCGGCCCTGCCCGTTGGCAGCCAGCCTTGAGCTTGAGTCCTGGTTGTCTCTGGTCTCTGTCAGAGCCTTGGACGCGGGACAGGAGCCACGTCTGCCTTACTTACTTTCTATCTGTGGCATCTCATAAAGTGGGTGCTTAAAATATTTGCTGAAAGTCAATTGATGGCGATCGTTGTCTTCCCTTGGCATTCATTTCTATTTTCAGTTCAAGCCTTTGGACCAGGGTCAGAATTCAGTGTGAAGAACGAACGACGCAGTGCTGTGTTGGGCCGATGAGTTAGCTGGCTGGCTGGGGAGTGGGGTTGCGTGTGTTTCTCTGTGTCGTAGCTCTAGTGTGTGTCTTGGTTTGCTGCCCGCCTCTGCAGGTTGTGGATACATCGAAAGGCATCGCAGATGTGCCAGAGTGGTTCAAGGGTAGCCGTCTCAACTATGCGGAAAACCTGCTGCGACACAAAGCCAACGACCGGGTCGCCCTGTATGTGGCAAGTGAGTGCTGGCAACGGTGTGGGTTTCTGCCCGTGTTCTCCACGCCTCTCGTGTGCAGCACCTCGTGTTTGTGCACGCGCTGGTGCACATGATGGTATTTGTACAGTATCTTGGTGCATTTGTGATGGAATTAGGAGATCTGACTTTCTAGACTAGTTGATAAACCTTATCATTTGTGCGGGAGCGCTGGGCTTGCTCTGTGGCCTTTGCCCCTGGTGCCCAGCTGCCGCCCGTCTGTCAGGGGAGGCTTTCATGTTGCCAGGGTGCTGTGCAGGGTTCAGTGGAGCTCCCCGACTAAGACAGACTGGGAGGAAAGGCGCGGGGACCAGCTTCTGTGAATCAGCCCATGAGAACCCAGTGGGCCACAGTGGCCTGATCCTGTTGTGGGGGTCACTATGAGTTGGGGGCTGCCTTGATGGCAGCCAGCAACCATGGCCGTGTTGTTTTGAGCAGCTGTAGGCTCATGGGAAATTTAACAGAAGTCCAGACAGAACCTGTGTGTTCTCTCTCCTCCCACCCAAGTTTCCTCCATTGGGACCATCTCGCAGTGATGTGTATTTTCTAGATGGAACCAATATTGACACATAGTTGTTAACCACAGTCCATTGTTGACATCAGAGGTATTCTCTTTGTCATGCAGTCACATATGTATTGACAAATGCATAATGTCACGTGTCCACCATTCCAGTGTCATGCAGGAGAGTTCCTGAAAAGGCCCTGTGCTCCGCCTGTCATCCCCCCCCAACCCGAGCCCCTGACGACCCCTTGTCACCACCTCTGCCGTTTGTCTCTCCAGAATGCTGTGAAGTTGGAGCCATCGTCTGTAGCCTCCTCACACTGGCGTCCTGCACTTAGCAATACACATTGAAGTCTCCCCATGTCTTTCTGTGGCATGTTGCCTCATCTGTTGACTCTCTGTTGTCCCTGGGGAGAGGAGGGACAGGTCATCTGATCCATACTGTTCTGTGGGAGAAATCGACATCACCTAATGTTGAGTAACTACCTGAGAGCTAGAATCACTAGGTGGTGTGAACAGTTAAAGCGCTTGGCTGCTAACTGAAAGGTTGGTGGTTCGAGTCCACCCAGAGTTTCCTTGGAAGAAAGGCCTGGCAGTCTCCTTCATAAAATTGGCCATTGACAGTCTTGTGGAGCACCGCTCTACTTCAAACACACATGGGGCTCTCAGAGTCAGAACAGGTTCAGTGGCAGCTACCAAAAACCAAACTCACTGCCATTGAGTCGATTCCAACTCGTAGTGATCCCCATTGGGTTTCCAAGTTGGTAAATCTTTATGGAAGTAGATTGCCCCATCTTCGTTTTGTGGGGTGGCTGGTGGGTTTGAACTGCTCACCTTCTGGTTAGCAGTCACATGCCTTAGGCATCATACTACCAGAGCTCCTTCTGATGGTAGCTGGTTAACAGGAAGTGACTGCCTACTGTTCGTTCATGTCATAGCACACAGCATAGCATGCCCACAGCTCCGTCCTTCGGATGCCACATGATGGTCCGTCGTACGGCTGTCTCACATTCTGTTTATCCTAAGAGAGCCGTAGGGCCATGCCTCACTAGGCACCACAACCCTTCTGTAAACTTCCCTGGGACACCAGTGCGATCCTAGCTTTCGTCACCCTAAAGAGCTTGACTGCTGGGTCCATTTCATATCTTCTGGCCCCTTTCAGCATGTCTGTACTTTACCCAAAACTCGGACCCTGTAAGTGTCTTGCTTTCTCCTAATGGCAAATGGGAAAGGTCAACTGTGATCTTCTTGAAAAAAGTGATAAAAGCCACTGACAGTGATTGGCCTGCCTGCTTGTTGTCAAGCCAGCCCGTCCTCTCAGGAGTTGCCTTTGTGGGGCTGGGCGGGAGCATCCCTGGGCATGCTCACTCTTGCCCTTGCCTGGATGTGTGCTGGTGAACACAGCCTGTTTGTAGAGCCTAGTTCTTTCTAGAGCGTGGTTTAGGCAGGTTGTGGTTCTTTGTCAGTTTCCCACTTCCTCTTCCTAGCCCTAACATCCCCATCCCACCCAGCTATCCCTTTGCTTTTCAATATTTGACCCCTGACCTCACACCCTCACACCAGGGATCACATTTAGCATACAAAGCGGGTATCTGTCTTAAGCAGGTCCTGAATTGACTTCTTCTTGGCTCAGGGACTTGGAACATTGCATTTTGTTACCTGGGTGCTTCCCTGATTGGTGCTTCTTTCCTACCTGCTTGCAGGCAGGTGCTTGTGGAGCTCTGCGTTCCCAGTAGACTTAGTCCGTCTGCCATGTTCCCCTGGGTGAGGGCGTGAGAGCCCGAGACAGGCAAGTGTGTGCCTTGCAGCCTTCATGCTCCAGCGAGCAGAGGACAGACGATGGGCATTAGCCCATCTGGGTCCACACATCAGCACATTTTGTCTTGGAACAGTGGACGTCAGGCAGCTGAGTGTTTTCACAGGACATTAAACCTCCTGGGTTGGGGATGTAGGAATGGGAACTAAAAGGCCGTGCCCCATGGAAGGGAGACCAGAACAGGGGTGGCACGTCCAGCTCGCTGCACATGTGAGAAAAGGAAGTCCAGATTCACACTAAGGGGAGTCAGGATGTGGGTTCCCTTTGGAAAAGAGAGACTCCTGTTGTGCACTGCAAAGGCAAGCAGCTCTCAGGCTTGACGTTTGCAGCCTGGATGGTGGGCAAGGAATGCATCTTTCCTGTTAAGCAAGTGATTGTGGGCGGTGACGGTGTTCTGTGTGGTGATTGTGGGCGGTGACGGTGTTCTGTGTGGTGATTGTGGGCGGTGACGGTGTTGGTGTGTGGTGATTGTGGGTGGTGACGGTGTTGGTGTGTGGTGATTGTGGGCGGTGATGGTGTTGGGGTGTGGTGATTGTGGGTGGTGACGGTGTTCTGTGTGGTGATTGTGGGCGGTGACGGTGTTGGTGTGTGGTGATTGTGGGTGGTGACAGTGTTCTGTGTGGTGATTGTGGGCGGTGACGGTGTT